AAAATAAAATAAAGGGTTTGTCCCAAATGAGTCAATGTTCAGAGATGGGGCTTATGGAAAGTAATGAGACGGTGAGGAATCTGACCTCATCAATGGATTAATCCATAGATAACTGAATGCACCATTGGAGGGCCGTAGAAACTGTAAGAGGTGGGACCTAGTTGAAGAGAGTAGGTCCTTAAAGGAATGCCCTTAGGGATGCCGCATCTTGTCTCCCCTCACTCCTGTCCCACCAGCAGCCACGAGGCCAGCAGCTTTCTTACACCATGCCCTTCTGCCATGATGTTCTGCCTCATCTCAGGCCTAGAGCAATGGAGCCAGCCAACCATGGACTGAATCCTCTGAAATTGTGAGTCAAAGTAAATCTTTCCTCTTTTAAATTAGTTTTCTCTGAAACTTTGGTCACAGAGATGAAAAACGAATACACTCTTAATGCAGCAAAGCGATATGGTTGCAAAACAGCAAATCTTGCCCTTAAGCGTATGCATCTGTCACAGTATGTCACCCATATTCCCATGTCAAGTTCCCTCATTGCTGTGCCATGTTGAAGCAGTTGAACCACAGCCACCCAAGAGTAGGGTCTACTGGTCTAGTTGTAGTTGGGAAGAAGAGTACTGGGTAGCTTTGCCACCTCCCTGGAATCCATGGGAACCTCCCCAAATAGAATATGTTCCTACTAGATGCTCCCAATTCCTAGATGGAGGAACTGTGCCCTCCCCCTGCCCTCTTGTCCCTACTCATTTAAGTTTTCAGTTACACTCATTAAGTGAACTCACCTGCTGACAGACACCTGAAGCCTGCTAAAATCCTCCTGTTTGCCTATTTCTCTGCCCTTTAACAAAAGAAAGCATGAAAATTTGGAGTCTCAGCAAGGCAGCTGCCAGAGAGATGTCAGAACATCCCGTAGATTCAGAAGAGAGGCGAAGGAACGCCACAGCCTTACAGAATGGGTTGAAGGGGTATTGACTTCTAACAGGGCTCAGATGTCTCAAAATCAGGCATCTCAAGAGCTACTTTTATTTGTGTACTTGCTCCTTCAAGCCTTTCCTGAGCTCCGTTCATTACTGGTTTGAGTGAGGAGGCTGAGCTTAGAGCCAGGGAAGCTAATGGCTGAATTCCTGGGGAACACAGGAGAAGAAGCAGCCTCAATCCCTGGGGTGGCTGAGACAATCAAGCCGTCACAGATGACACAGAAACTGCTGAAACACGGAGCTGGTGGGGGGCACATCCCCACAAAGTGGATCCTCTACCCCAGGGGCCAAAAGTGAGCAAGGAGAGAACATGAAGTAAGATGGGGGCAGGAGTCAGAGCCCAGAAGGAAGCGGGGACTCTAGCCTTGTGCTGAGAGGGATGGGCAAGAAAGGAGAAAATAACTAGTTTGCCACTAAAAGAATGAGGAAGTGGTTAAGGTTGAATGAGTCCCATGGAATCCGGCTCCAGAGCCACTTCTCTTTACTTCCTCCCTTGGCCAGGCCTCTAGCCTACTCCCTGGAAACCTCACACCTGTGCCCAGCAGTTCAGGGCTGTCAGGTTTCTGGGTATCAGTTTTTAAAAGGCAATCTGCCTTGGGGTATCCATCCCAAATCGATATTCCCAATTCAATAGGTAGAAACTAATTGAGTACGAACTGTAAGAATAAAATTGCTTTGGAGGTACATAAAATTATGGTGCATTTTGGAAAAGACTTAATTTTTCATAAATCAAAGTGACATTTTCCTGCTGCCTTTCAAGCTTCTAGAAAAAAATCAAAAAAATCAAATGTATTTCAATAACACTGAAACTAAGAGTCAACCATTCATCGATGTCCCTGAAAGTGATGCAGGTATCAGAAGTATAACAACTTTGTAGTAATATTTCCTCCTTTGTGATCAGGCTGAATGATGTTTCATTTATTGACTAGTTTCACTATGCACAGGATAATAGTAATAAGATTTAATAATATATTTTTTTAAAGTTAATCTCCATTATGGTTGACTATAAAATGCATATCGAAGAATAACAAATCAAACAATAAAGAGAAAAACCTCTATAGCTAGATAACAAAACACAGACATATAGCATATATTATAGAAAAGCATCACTTCTCAGAGCTGGGTAGGCAGGTTTTCACATTCTTGTTGTGGCTTTGTTTGTAAATTGTGAAGGGAAAATTAATTCCTTGAAGTCATGTTTAATCTGGCTTGATATAATAAGTATTCTATAGGTTGGAACTTGACTATCAAGATTGTGTGATGTATTTTATCTTAAAACTCTTCTCATCTTAATTATTAATAAAGAGATGTAGTCAAAGTATGCCAAGATATTAAGACAAAGGGAATTTCAACTTACAATCACCAGTATTTGAAAATTCTGACAATTTTCTATTAGTAAATATATATATATATATATATATATATATATATATATCTAGAACTACTAAAGTAGCCCAAAGTTTGATTATCTTTATTAAAATTTATCACTCAAAATGAGGTCTGTTCATAATTTCTGTTATATTAATAGCCATTCTGAGGATGGAATAAAGACCAACTCTGGGTATTTCTAGAAATAACTTCCCCACTATTCTGCTTGCTGATGATGCTTCCTATTCTGTCTTTTAAAAGTTACCATTATTATGACTCTCAAATTACTATCACATAAATGTAACATTGTTTGAATTTGATTCTTAGTGTAAACTATTTTTTTAAATGATTGACAATATTTGATATAAAGTCTTTTTAAAATGTGGCTTTCTCAAATTTTAATGAAAATCTTGACAATCGTCTTCAGAATTCTTCCAGGACAACTTTTTCTTCTCTTACTCTTCATTCTTTTAAAATCAATGACTATTTTTACTCTGCTTGGTAGAGTAGGCTTTTGACTTATAAAAGCTCTATTCCAATGGCACACACACACGCGTGCACAACCCCCCACAGTCATGTGTCACTTAGTGGCAGGGATACATTCTGAGAAATGCATCATTAGGTGATCTTATAATGTGTGAACATCATAAAATGTACTTCCACAAACAGCTACACCATCACTAGCTAATAAAATCACATGGGAATTCCATCATACATGTTGTCCTTTACTAAACAAAACACCATTATGTAGCACATGACTGTATATAATTTCATTTTTGCCTGTGTAGTTTTTTTAAAAAATAAATAACCAAGTAATAGAGATTGGTTCAAGGATTTTTTTGAGTCATCTAGATCCTTTAAATTATCATAAGGGAGTTACAAGGTGTTTTTGAACATGCCTCATTACTATAAATTTGCTTAGAAGTGAGTTTTTGATGAAATAGCTAAACATGGACAAAGTATTTTCTTTTCCTTGACAGAGTTCCTATTTTATTCCTAAATTCAGAATATTATTACCATGAATTCTTCATCCACTAGTACTGTCTTTGAACTTACAGTTGTTTCAAATGATTTTAAATTTTTATAAGTATAAAAAATGCCACAATGATAATCTACAGATAAATATCAAAAGTACATACTTGAATTGAGAAGTACTCAGATAGTAATATTGCCAAAATTTCATAAGGGAAAATATACCTTTACAGAACAATAAAGAGCAACAAAGAGTTAGCTCTTAGAGATATGACCACTAGTATTTTATTCTTTTGTTTGTTTTTCTCTTCTTCCAAAGTATTTTTAAAGGTACTAACAGATATAAAGATAAAGCAAAACCTATAGCCCCATAATATCCAGATTACAATTTATGGATGATCTGTCTATTTCACATAAGAATGC